CCACCTTATAAGTCTAATGGGCTACTCCTCCTTTCACCAATTGGTTTTAGGATGAAACCTCATTTGGGCTTCATATTGGTTTTCCTTTTCCCCCAGTTTCTTACATATAGCAATAAATTGCCTGCAAATATTCGTTTAGTGTTTCTTTTATTGGAGATTTGTTGGTAATTTGTATTAGTATTTTTCGTTTAATTTTATGATATTTATTTTTTCGTTCAGTTTTATGAAATTTTTCTTGAGATTCTGTAGGTAATATATTGTTATTTACTAACTACTTTTCTTTTTTTTTTGGTAATATCATTTGTAATACAAATGTAATACAAAGAAATTATTAATTATAAACTGTAGAACAAAAAAGTTGTTATTAGTAAGTACATATTTAGATAGTGACACAAATATAGTTTCTCAATAGATTTATAAATTTATATTATGAATGAAGTATATATGCAATTTTTATTTTTGTTATTAATTTTGGTTGGAAGTGTATAGTTGTATAATACAAGAATTTGTGTTGTGAAATGAAAAGAAAGTAAACGGGACAAGTGGACTTTTATTCTTGAAAATCAAAGCATAGAGTAGGAGGAGGTGATGAGTAAGATGTGGAAAAAGAAAGGAAAAATGGAAAACATGAAGCACAAAACAGTAGTAGTTTTTGCATTGCCTACAACTGTAGTGAAGTCTAAGGGCAGCGGTTGGGGACGAACCTAACTCTGTTTCCGGCTACATCGAACACCACCTCGTACGTCTTCTGTTGAGTGTTGGCGAAAACTACCGGAGGATTATTAGTATCTCCCATGAATGCAAGGCACACTATTGATTCGTTGACCACAAACAGTGTTCCAGCAGCATCCAAATCGACTTCCACATTGTCCCTGAAGGTGAAGGTGACGACCGGGACACTGGTGGGTTTTGTGGTATTAGGTTTAGGAGTAAAAAAACAAGTATCCAGAGTGTAATTATGTTTGGTTGTGTGAGGGGGTGCGGATGTGAATCGGTAGTGGTTGATCATCTGCTTCTTGAATTCATGGCTTAATGGGGCGTATGCTTGCGGAGGGAGAAGGCCGAAAGTGCTTACTGTGTCTATCAACGTGCCTCCCGAGAAGACCGCGGGGCTTATCTCCAAGTTGCGTCCATCCACGGCTATAGAGATAGTGTCGATGAAGTAACTTGAACTATATGTGTCACTTTCCGGGCTGGCAATTAAGGGTGTGAATTTGGTGGTATTAGTGTTATATCTATCATCACAACTGCCCTTTCCAAGTGCAAGAAAGCCTTGGGAGGTGGTGTTGGAAGGGAGGCAGTAGGAGAAGTAGCCGTTTGCAGCAGTTTGGGAGACAATGGACAAGTTGCCCTTGCCGAGGCCCATATATCCGGCTTCAAGACCAACAACATCTCCCCAACTGGATTGGCTACACCCAAACAGCATATCGGCAGTAGTACTACTTTTAGAGTTGGTATTAACTGGGTGTAGGCTAAGTTTGTCCATACTCAAGAATCCAATGGAGCCAGTGTAGTAAGAGTCTGCGGCGTAGTAGACGCACTTGCGTTGTGGGGAGCAGCTAGGGCCAAATTGGGTCTCGTCATCGAGAAGAGAGCATTGGGGGGATTTGCACGGGAGGGCGGAGTACGAACTCGACTTATGAGGGTCGAATATCGGCTCTCTTTGAGGCCTAAAGTTCACAAGGCACGGCATGCATTGAGTCCACATAATGTCGGTGGTGGAGTCGAGAATGAGGGATTTTGTTGTTGGAGGTGTCCCGAGGCCAACCGTGACCGCGAACGCGTATTCGCCACCCACAACGGGTAAGGAGGAGCGCACGGGAAAGCATGCTGCTGCTGCTGCTTTTTTGTATTGGGCGCATGCATCCACTCTCCTCCTCTTCCAACCTGATTCATATGTAGGTAGTACAATATCAATCAATAGCTCTAAAAATGCAGAATATATATGTTCATTAAAAAAAAAAAACATGGTATTTGGAGAGTACCATACCAGCTAAAGGGGTGTTCGATTTGCCAAGGGAGGCTGGCAGATGTGAAGTGAGGCCTATAGTGGGAAATTGGTTTCCTGATGCTTTCTTATTTGATAACAAAAACAATATAGAATAAAGAACAAACTTCATTGAGGCCAAAATAGAGTATTGTATCTTATAAGTCATGATGCAATATTTTGTATTTTGTATTTTTTTTACCAGTGGTTATTGGATGCATTTAACCTCAGGTATCGTCAGTAATATAGAGAAAAAAATAAATAAAAAATTATGTCAAATTATGTACTTATTCAAAAGAGTTACATTTATTGACATCAATGAAAGTAGAAAAGAATCTGTCCGAAGAGGGGTTTGTTTGTCAAATGAACAATGATGATGACATGGAATTTTTTTACAAATTTAAAAACAAAAAATTACGAATTAAAAATTATTTATATAGACACTTTAAGGAGATGTTTGGAAAACAGCGTTTTCTACAGTTGTTTGTCTTATTCGACTTTTGAGATCCGCTTAAAAATGAGTGTTTGGTTAAAAATGAGTGTTTGGCAAAGTTACCCCTTATATAATGACAAAAATATTGAAAAAGCATATTGTTCAAGTACTTGTGGACAATTTGATGGCAAATTTACATTTCGACAAAACGAAAATATTTACTTGTGCCTCATATAATGGCAAAATTGCCCCTTATTTCAATTGCAAAATTGCCATTTAGAAACAATTTAGATTTGAATTCAAACATCAGTTTCCAAATTTCATTAAAATAAAAATGAAATTAATTTAGTATCTGAAAAAAAAAAAAAAAACAACTGTATGGTATAAGAGCGAGTAAGATGCTTTGTCGAAAAAAAAAACACAAGTGAAATCGAGTTATTTTCATTGTTGAACGAACGCCAACAAATATTAGATACAAATAAACTATGTTATTTCCATTAAAATAAAATTGGAAATAATTTAATTTCCTAAAAAAAAATTGAATTCAATTGTATGGCTAACGATCGAGTTAGATGTGTTTTTGAAAAAAAAAAGTGAAACCGAGTTATTTTCAAAGTAGACGGACGCCAACAAATATTGCTCGAAAAATATATAAGTAAAAGTATGTTGTTTAAGTTAAATAAAGTGGAACTACTCTCTAACAATGAGATGTAAAATCCAGAACAATACAATTTGCACGATCACACAATCACATTTCAAGAAGAAAGAGTCAGAATCAAATTTGTCTTATTTTCCATTCAAACATTTGTGCTTCTACTTTTAGACAAATAAACATTTCCCTATTTTCTATTTAGTTTTTACATTAAGTATGATACATATGAAACGTAATTTAAATATATTTAGTATCATACTTATTTTTTGTTAATATTAAAATAATACATAAATATCTGTGATTTACTTTATAAATATCCACATAAAAATAAATTTCAACTATGTTGATGTCCTTATATGTAATTTTACATGTTAACAGTTAAATAAAATAGCTAATTTTATCAAATATATTTTTACAAACACCTAACACAATCAGCTGGTCAAAACAACTAATGTTCTCCATTGGTCAAATCAGCTAATACAATATGCTAACAGCTAACAACTAACCGTCATTACCAAACTACTCAAGTACTAGTAAAGTGCAGATAAATTATATGTTAACATAACTTTTATTTATTTTTTCTCTTTTATATTCTTATGTTCTATTCAATTTTTTGCATTATTATTTTTAATTAAACACAAGAAGTACATTCCATAATGAAAAGTGTCAAATATATTGAAAGTTGAAGTACAATTTTCAAAATAACAATATTAAAATTTATGGTGAAAAAGATTGCATGAAAATTTTTGTTTAGAAACCCTCAGTATTTATTATCTAAGTTAGTCTTGTTTATTCGAAATCAATTTTGTTGGGAAAAGATTGCAAAATATGCACAATAAAACTAAATTGAAATTTTTTACAAGAATAATTTGATTTGATAGTTTACAATTTTGTCTTCTTATCTATATATATAAGATAAAAATAAAGTTAAATCTATACTTATATAATAAGGTATACTATTTACCAAATTTAGTAGGTTGAAAAGTCAACTTAATTAATGCATTGCTATTTCTATCCAGAATTTTATTTAATTATTTTATTTATTTGTCTTATATCCCATAAAATCAGTTTAAGAAAAAAATCACATAACATCTGATAAGTAAAAAAAAAAGGACGCAAAATCTTTACTAAAATAAAAAATGTTTTATTTATTTGTCTTATTTTATATTAACATCGATTTTGTCACAACAAATCTCATAAAATCGGTGAAGTCAAATTTTGTACGTAAAGTCTATCTATACTAAAAAAAGGCAGATTCAAAATTCCTTAGCTAGTTCATTCTTTTTCTTATCTAATTTCTTCTTATTATCTAATTGTATGGAAATCTGTTCTGATTTTGTTCAATCCTCTAGTTGTATTTGTATTATATCCCATAAAATCGGTTTAACAAAAAAAAAAACCCATAACATCAGATAAGTAAAAAAAGTACGTAAAATATTTATTAAAATAAAAAAGACTTTATTTATTATCTAATTTATTATCTAATTGTATGGAAATCTGTTCTGATTTTGTTCAAACCAATTTCTGTATATTCAGATTCTGATTTTTTAATAAAATATTAACAACAATATATATCCCGTGCCTCGCACATGTTACGTACTATATATTTCCCGTATATTTTTCTTTATTTATTTATATAATTATAATGCTGGATATATGGCCTTAAAATAGTGCAACTCGTGCATCGCACGGGCTATGTACTAAATATTTTTGGAAAGTCATTCCCACAAAACATTAATTGCACACAAAATATGGTAATTTTAAAATTTAATTTAAATAAAAAGAAAAGAAGCATTAATAGGGATGTAAATGGGTCGGGTCGGGTACGGGTTTTGACAAACCCGAACCCAACCCGCATGTAATTTACCCTACCCAAACCCGACCCGTTACCCGGTTGGTGATCTTCGGGTTCGGGTTGGGTTTTACCCGGCGGGTTAATGGGTTTTCTTCGGGTAAATGGGTAACCCGAGTTTTTAAATTTGGGCTTTACTAGATCCATCTCGTTTCATATTGATAATAAAATAAAATAATTTCACAATTAATTATAATGTAACAAACAATTTATTAACTAAGTTCGACAATAAAAAATTACAAAAAACTATTATATTATTTTTGGAATAAATAATGAGATATAATTATTTATCTTGTATAGTCAATTTAATAATATTACATTTAAAAATTAAGTATTTAAATTTTTTATCATACAATTAACAAAAATTGATTATAAAATCATAAAAAAAAATTTGCCATTAATCAAACTTATAATCAATAATCTAATTTTTATACTAATAAAACATGACTACTTTTATATTTATAATAATTTATAAATACATATATATGTGTATATATAATATTCAATGGTTGCGGGTAAACGGGTAGGGTAATCGGGTCGGGTAGCGGGTTTTTCTACTATACCCGTACCCGACCCGACCCGGGGTTCGGGTAGAATAACTCTACCCGAACCCGACCCAAAACCCGATCGTCTCGGGTTTACCCGACCCGAAAATGCGGGTAACCCGTGGATAACCCGACCCTACGGGTTTTATTGACATCCCTAAGCATTAATTGCATCCATTATAGTTGTCTTTAAAAATGGAATGCTGATTGCATTTACATATGGCATTGATCCAGGGGCGGAGCCACCCTAAGGCTAGGGTGGGCTCCAGCCTCATGTAATTTTTTGCTAACCTTATTTTTTCTAATCTTATTTTTTTTTAAAAAAAATTTATACATAGACTCATTAGTCCCATGGAATTTTTTATGTAGCCCCATGTAATTTTGGGCTGAATGCCTCAAGAATATCTTCAGGTTAAAATTTTTTATCTGACAACAATGGTGAAAAAAATGATGATTGTAGTGAGGAAAAAGTACAATCCTTTATTGTCAAATGACAATTATGACCTTATTAGATTTTATCGCTTAAGTTTATAATGTGACCCAACACATTCTTGCCTTTTAAATTTTTAATCGGTTGACTTGATAAATATCAAATGAGCTGGATAATTAAGCTTGACACAGACTTCTCCAACTGGCTATTTAATTGGGTTCGTCTAAGTCCACAGTCCGTTATCCATTTTCATTTATTTATTTATTTATTTTTTTGTTGATTTCACCTCCAATAATTAACTCGGCATCATTTCCTAGACAAAGAGAAATCTCGTAAAGAGTTGATTGCAAACATGTTTGACTCTGTTTATTTGATGGACAAGTTCGATTAGCTATTTGAGTTTGGCTTGTTTATATATAACAGTGATTCGAGATTGAGTTTTTCCTATTCAAACAGACATATGTTAAATGATATTTTGTTTCTAATCATAACCAAAACTGGTTACAGGTCGATACCGTCAATACCGGGCCGAGAGTTAGAGGACCATGAACTGGCGCGAACATATGTACGGGCCGGTTCATTGAACTGTCGGTTATTGGTCGGCCAGTTCATTTAAAAAAAATAATTAAAATAATATTTTTTTTTAAAAAAAAAAGGCAGAACCTCGGATTTCGATTCCAATTCGGAACCGAAACGGCATGTTCAAAATGTATAAACTATAAGGTATTGTACATGAACCGAACTAGTCAAAACCACGGGCCGGTCAAGACCTATGGTCAACGGGCCAGTTTGTGTTGGTTCGGGCTGAACCGACTGGCTGGGTCGGCCCATGACCATGTCTAGAAGGTTCCAATAATAGCTACAACAATATGCAGCCCCAGGTTAAAAAATTTCCTGGCTACGCCCTGCATTGATCGTTATTCTGTTAGCAGATTTTTTTAGCAAATCCATTAGATACGTACGAATCTAATTGTAATGGAACCGGTATAATTAATAAAAATGATAGAATAACAGAAATATAAACAAAATCACTCTTTATTAACATAAAATATTTGTGAGATATACTCAAATGGTATAACTCTCTACAGTAAATGATTTTATATTTTAGAAATAATTTTATATTTTAGTATTAATTTTTAATATCTTCCCTACAAAATGCATTAGATATACACCTGTACAATTCTTTCTAACAAAATATACACACCTGTATAATTCTTTCTC